ATATGGTTCAGAACGGATTAACCGTATTTACATTGAACCTTATGGGAAAATTTGATTCGGGTCGCGCCCAATTTGGGTCGCGACCAGAGTCGCGGAACAAATTAAGTTCGTGACCCGAGGTACCACTGTATCTGTTCTGTGCATTGCAAGGGTTTGTATCAGTCGTGCTTACCACCTGAGACATCTGGGACACCCTTAGATGTGGTGCAGGTTCACTAGCAGCATTAATGGAACTGTGGGACATGCAAAAATGAGAATGGAGGTCTGAACATTACTATAGCTTTACAAAGCAGTTAGAGATCCTCACTAAACAGAGGCTGAATCCTAAGGAATACAGGTGGTTCCAATAATGCACAACTGTATGACTGTTTATGCAAGTCCACTGTTATTAGCTGCTTGCCTTTTGACAGATTTAAGAACAAATGGAAGCTGTGTGGGTATACTACCTAGGTGTCTCACCTAAACATGTCAAATTCAGACTCCATCAGGTATCAAACCTGAACCTTCATGAATGTGACTGCATCAAGTAGATTAAACTTAAATGGCATGAAATAGACTGAACTGCTCCTCACCCTCTTTCAGCAAATAGAATACAAGCTACCACCATTTGTTTTGCTGATATTTCTGTGAGGAATGACTTGGGACTTATAAAAGTAAAAATAATATCTTTGAGAGATTTGGATATTATAGCTATCAAGGGTACATGATGGGGTTTATACCATGTCCTAAACTGGATATTTTGCCTTAGTATATATATGTGAACTCAATCATTTAAATTATGTGTTGTCAACAGAAGCACACCACTCCATCACTCAGACTGTATTCAAACATACTAAGTCAAAACATAGTTTGCTTGTATCTGATGTATCACAGTGGACATCCAAATCTTTTGCCTAGGAGGTTACAGAGGTATGCGATTATCCCAGATCTTCAGACACATTAGCTATGTTTGCTAGACCCACCATGTTATAAAGCAAAGTCAGCAAGTATGGGCACGGGGATCTGAAATGTACGACGTCTGGAATTCCAAACCCAGAGTCTGTTACCTACAAATGCATGCTCATTCATTAACTTTACATTTTATTCGGCATGTTCTGCCTCCACAGCCAGCTTACCACAGAAGTAATGGGTAACTCAAACTATTATTTGCTTTCTTGATGAGATTACATTGGCAGTCACTCAACGCCAGCCAAGAGTTATACTTTTCTTTACCCTTTGGCGTTCACCTGGATCCTTACAGTCCAAATTTGATTGCCCTAAGAGAGTCATTTACAGGCTGAACCAGTCTTGGAAGTCACACCTGTCTTACACACTTGGCCAACCCCGTTCCCAAGATAGTTTCAGCTATGATCTGTGCTATAGCCAAACGAAAGCAGCACGATGACGAAGCCCCGAGAGTTACCACTGACTTGACTTCCTTGCATCTATCATAGCTTTGCTTTGAACCGGTATTTCCTGATCCAGAGTCAGGATGGCGGAATGAAAGAGAACGGAGAGAAACTGGGCTTACTTCTGGCCAGCGCGAAATGCTGGAAGCTCCTCCTTTGAAGGCCGGGGCATCAACAGTCAGACTGCGCTTTAGCTACTTTTTCCAGCAACGGTTCAGAGACTGTCTCCGCGCTATGTTGAACTAGCGGGGCGTTCGCTGGGATATACGTGTCTGCACTTCCGTGTGCCGTTCAAACTCAGAAAACTCGACTGAGAAAAACGTGGCTAAAACACCCGGGGGTGCGCACGGCTAAAATAGGGTCAGCTGCTTTGTGGTTCAGTGTGTCTTGCAGGGATCTAGCCCGAGTGGTGGATCAAAGTCTCCGAAAAGGCGACCCAGCAGGACTCTGGACAAACGGTTAAATTAGCAGTGGCGGTGTAGTTCGGTAACCGGAGCCCCTGGACTTTGTAGTCCTGCTTCGACACCTCCCCCCTCGTAATGCCAAACCCTCTGCTGGGCTTGAGGGCACCTCCTACGTTTTTGGTTGTCCGAAGCCCCCAACTTCTACTCCGGAGTCCTGCTCGAACGGCGCCGCCTCACTGTCCAATCACGTCCTTGGATCCGGGCAGTCCCCTCCCCTCCGTTCTCTCTCTTTCCTTTCATTGTTCGGTTTGCCTTGATCTGCATTTGGAGAGCGGTTATGCTAACTGTGTTTGGGTTGCACAGGTGCGTGTGCGCCAGTAGGCAGCGGCGTTTCTTTCTCCAGGCAGGGGCCTCCCGAACTCCTCCGGCTGGTGCCCGAGGCCTCATCCTTCCCTTTCGGGAGGGAGGCGAGCGGTGTAAGCGCGCTTACCTGCTTGCTGCAACCGAGCAGCCGCGCCCTTGAGAAAACGCCGCCCCCAAGGTTCGTTTTCCTTCCTCCTCCTGAAACAGGAAATTGCCTGACTCAGGAAAGATTCCAGAATAGTGCCTACCCTCCCTTGTCCCAGGCAGCTTCCACCTCAGACGAGAATTCAGAGGCGCGGCCTCTGCTTGGATCGCTTTTATATCTCTAGGTGCTATTAACACGTTCCTGCGTCGTCTTCCAAGTGCCGGGCAATTTTCCAGACAAATTATTTTCTACTCCAGGTAACTATTTTTTCTCTTATCTATTGGGAGTGTGGGCGTATGCTCCGTTTTTTAAATTGCCCTTTTAATCTTCACTGCCTGCTTCCCTTAATTGAATTTTTAGACGCCGCGAAACGGCGAAGAGCGCGCGCGCGCGCGGTACGGAAAATCCAGGGCTCGTATTCTAAGCTCTTTCTGCCGTCCAGGCGAGCGCGAGGGGGTCGAAGTACCGCGCAGTTGCATAATTTTAGTCCGGACTGAAACGCCCTCTCCCCGCCGTATTCCCGCACCTACTGCAAGCCACCCTACCGGGGGCGGGGGGAAGGGGAGATGAATCGCTGTTATCTTCGAGGTTGGTACTCGCAGCTCCCAAGTGTGAGGGCTGGTAAAGCGTGAATCCGGTTAGATGGAAGTTGGTCGTTTTTTCCGAAATGACCTTTCCGGGGTTGTATACAGTGGGATGTTTCGTCTGTTTACACCTGGAGTTCAACCTTGAGGGGGGAGGGGGGACGAATCAGAGAGCGAGTTCCGGGTGAAAGTTTTTTCTGCTTGGAAACGTCTGGTCCTGTAACTCCAAAATAGCATTGTCCGGACTATGATAAATCCTAGGAAGGAGTTAAATATGAATCCGAATGGCCTGCGCTGGAGTTTATACCCTCAACGATCGATTGGTGCCTTCCTGCCGCTTTCCCCTCTTCGCTTTTGGTTTGTGGGTGTGTTTTCCCTCTGCCTGTGCTTTGGCGCTGGCTGATTGGGGGTGGCGGACTCCGTATTTTCCCGGCGGAAGGGGCGCTGTTTTCCTCCTTCGCTACTGAGCCGTAGCCAGGTAGGGGAGGGAAAGGAAAGGTTTCATTTGCAGATCGAAGTTTCTTTAACAGAACTAAGGACCTACATGTTTCTATTTCCAGCTTGAATGCTTTTAGGAAGGAAAGTGATACTCTGTAAGGACGTGAAGGAAGGTGATACGGTACTCCGTAGGTGCTTGAGTTGGCCCTTTGGTGAATTATCGCTTGTTTGGAGAAGGGTTGAAGTTGAAGAGACTCATGGGAGCTTCGTTATCCTGAGGAAACTTTATGCAGGAAAAAAAAATATCTCTGAATTCCAGCCATGCTTGAAATGACACATCAGTACTACAATAAGTACTTCAAAATTCCTGGGTTTGAGAGAGATCATTTCCTGTATTTCTTAGAGGCTGTCAGAATAAAACTCCAGTATGTTTCACAAAGGAAATAAAACAACACCCTGTTTAGCTGCAAATTGTTCTCTTGTATCATCTTTGCCTGACTACTTCGATACTTCTGAAACATACTAGTTTTTCCTTTTTTAAAAGCAAATTTGGTCTGTATAAAGGGTAGGGCAGATTCTTTCCAGATATCATTAATTAAACTGGCAGTTTAAAAAAAATGCCAACATTTAATATCTTGCTGTTCAGAAACTTTCTAGGGAAGCATATGCAGTTGCTGTGATAACAATGCTCCAGTCTGTATAATGTAAGAGGCTTGTTATCCAAAGCGTTCCAACGTAAGGAAAATGTTGCAAGACCTTAATAACATGACATGTGTCAAAACACAAACAAGATTAGAATACTGTAATGTAATTATTACAACAAATTCTTTCTTGAATGTATAGATAGCATTCAGACTAAATTGGCCACTGGTCATTATGTTTAACTTCTATCCCATTAATCTGAACAGGACTTAATTATGACTAATCATCTTATTGATTGGTGCTTCTCTTGAGAAACTTCATCTGAGTGCTATACTATAAAAACAAAAATGTTTAAATTCAGAATTTGATAATAATGACATTGCAAACAATTTAAACAGATGGCAGCGTCATGAGTTCTTGGGATTGATCAAAGAAGACTCAGCACCCAAGAGCTGCCTTGTGCACTAGGTCATTTTTTTTTCTTTATTTGTAGCATAAAAAAACATTCGTTTCTCTGTCAGATTGTCTCTTTCTGCCAGATAATTATGCAAACAGCATTCAGCTAAGGCATACAAGCAGAGCTTTAACCTCCCCTCCCTCACTTGTACCTCAGAGCAATGTACAGTAATGAATTGCTATAGGAACTAATAGTTAATCTTGGAATGCTAGAACAAACATCTGTCTACAATTGTATTGCTGGTGCTGATGTGACAATGCTTATCCTATTACAGAGTCCCCAAACAGTTAATCAAGGACTTCAGTTAAAACTGGCATCCTCTCATGGCTTATGCAACCTTGATCTTTCCTTTGGTGCCTTTGGATCTTCTTCTGCATCTGCTTGGTAGACAGATTCTATATCATGCCATCCTCCTTGTGTAAGTGATTTCTATCCTGTATCCTATTTAGTGATCTTGGATTACCCTGGAACTGCATTTCTTTAGCCATCTAAAACTGCTGAAATTCATCTTTGCTTGGTACCCATTTTTCTCCTCCTTTTCCTACTCTGAGTCCAACTTTTACAATGTCAGGACTACTAAGTAGACCAGATCAGGAAATCAATTTCACAGGAAGGCTAAAACTACTTGTAAGCAGATTGGCTATAATAACAGAATCTTGCAGGTATGATTGTTCTGAACCTCTTCCTTCTTCTTATAGTTCAGTGAATTTGGGAGGTATCTGCCTGAGCTGCTTCTGAATGTTATATCATTCCGGACTTAAAATGTGCTTCAGCCCCTATTGCCTAGGTAACTGATCCTGCATATCTCCATCAAGGTCATCTTCCTTACTCTCTACATAGTAATAACTTTCTTCCAGTTTTTTTCTTGTGTGAGTTGGGCAGCCATATACATTTCTTAAATAAAATAAAAATGACATGGTAGATCTGACAGTGTAGTGTACAGACATAGAGAATAGAGAAGCCAATGGTCAAGGCCACTGTCACTTTATTAATGGTCCTACCCTGTATCTTTTGTTGTGCTCTGTGAGAAAGCTTCACAGCAGAATAAATTTAGTGGTTCTCATGTTACTCTTCATGTTGTTTAATTGTGTACAGACTTTGTAGTTAATTCCCAAATGTGCTGAACTTCACTGAACTTCCAGGTTTTTAAGGATAGTCAGAATAAATATACAGGCAAAAGGATCTTAACAGAAGGTTCTTTTTATCAGCTTTAAGTGGGATCTGAGTTTAAAACTCAGAGCTGCCCTGTTACAGAATGAAATTATAAAATATATTGCAAGACAGCATTTTATTTTGGTTTTAGGCATGGACCTTGTTTGGTTAGCTAATTTGGGGTTACATTTCTAATTTATTTTGAAGAATCACATCTTATAGTATATTCTTACAGTTTCTAACTCTGTCCTAGCATCTCAACAGGATTAGTGATAAACTATACCTAATTAGAAGTGAATTTGTGTCTACTTCCAACCTCCTCCTTGTTATCCTTGTTAAGAGAAGGATAGGGAAAATACATTAATCTTGTGTTTCTAAGGCTATACTATGGTTTTATGCTCCATATGGACATAGATCCAAATGACAATATTGGATTAGCTAGATAAACTCGACAATTTTAGCTTGGAAGCTGACTTATTTATAAGGAGACCTACTGTAACTCTGCAAATGGAGGTAAAATAGAGTACAAATTACACGGCTTCTGACACTTCCACGGTTGCTTCCTGCTAATAGAATATGATCATATGGTCTCCCTCTAAAACTAGTCAGTGCAGCCTCTTATTCTGCAAAATTAGAGTTTGCAGCAAGCAGAAGAGGAATCAAGGATCACTGATGCTAAAGGTGGCTGTAGGACAAGGAGTAACCTTAATAAGATTTATGGGATTACACATTTGTACATGGGATTATATTCAAGTAACCCATAATTCTTCAGAAATTGAACTGCAGATTGTTTCACACAAAGAATGTTGTAAAATAAAATAAAATGGTATTTAGCTCTTCTTTTTTTTTGCTACATGGGTCTTTTTTTCAGACATTCTCTGGAGGACTTCAAACAGAACCTGGATGGTCATTCATCAGAGATGCTCTAGCACAGGGTTTGTCAAACTGTGTTCTACAGAACTTTAGAGATATGCAAGAGACTAAGGGGGGGAAGGATAAAATCCACTCAATGTGTAGCCAATTTTCTGTCACTAGATCTTTGCCTTTTGATGAGGGATTCTGGGCTTTTTTAAAATAAACTAACAGATTCTACTGCTTGAAAAAGTTTGAAAATGCTTGCTCTACACATCCTGCACTGTGCAAAGGGTGGAACTAGATAACTGTTTATCTAAGGGAGCTATCTAAGATCCCTTCCAATTCTATCATTCTATATCCGTATCAAATTATGTGGAATATTATGTGAAGGTGAATTTCTCCGCAAGCCAAAACAGCTGTTCATTTTATTCTGAAATAGTGATATATTAGATACTGCTAATTGGAAGAAAATATATCTCTGTGGATTGGAAAAATTCACTGAAAAATTTTGAAGATGCTACATATACAGAAAAGTTAAATTTGATCCAGCCCGCATGTTTCTTCTAGACATGTGAAGTAAACTTCAGGTTCATGTGCCTTTACCAGAAACAGAATTCGTAATCTGAAGAGGAGAATATATATGAACTAAATACTAGCCATGAAAGGATGCACACAGATGGGACTTACTCTTGAAATAATGCATGTAAGAACTCAATTTACACCAAAAGTTCCCTTTACTCATATCTTTGCCTCCAGTCTGTATTTAAATATAAAAACAGAGGCTTTTTTGTTCTAATGTAGTCAGTGAACCTATGTGTGAACCCCACTGAAGTCCCAAAAGTTTTGGTGGTACTGAATTTCCAGATAATTATTTTTGAGAGGTAACAATGAAGGTTGTTGAAATTTCTGAGAGCTTAATCAGTGATTTGTTTGGAAAAATAATGTTGTAAGTGCTTTTTCTGTTCAAAAGCCAGATATGGGATTTCCTGAAGTTCTAATGGGTGAACTCTGATCAGACAAATGAAACCAAAACTAGCAATCACCTGTCTGATCAGCTGGGTTAACAACTCCTTTTATTAGAAGTTGTAAATTTCTTGCATGCTGTTTGGGACTATACTGTTGCCCCAAA